AGATTTTTTTTATAATTAATACAATACTTAAATAGCATCCAATTTATTTAAGTGGCTGGTTTAAATGCAGCTCTTCTGTAAAGTACCATTGAACATAAGCAAGAGAGCTATGGTGTATTTGATCTAATTTCAGCTAAATGAACCTTTAAAAAAATTAAATCCATTTCAGCATGGTTCATAAAATTAGATTATAATATCAATCATACATATAATAGCACTTCAAGTACTTCCTCATCCTCAAGTTTGTCTTGAGTCTAGTACTCTGAGCACTGGATAGATTCCCAGGTAGAATATATATTTAAACAAGGTATCTTAATCTTTGTTTAAGATATCTGGGCCAAAAAACTATCTAAGTAAGAAACACATATTGACCACATTTAAAAACATAATCCAAGGAATAATAACCTTAAAGATGTACACATAAAATGGTTCCCACTTCTGAATATGTTTATATGTGTTTTGCACATTGGAATAACTGAACAGCCAAAGAGATCAAATGCAAAAATTCTATATTTCACTTTGCTGATGCCACATTAATGTTTCTTGACTTAGAATTTTCCATACTTGCAACATGTCCTTTAACCTGATTTTGAATTTAATCTTTAATTTAGCAAGTTATAACCAGTCATGAACAACTCATTGTCCTGAATTATTTCTTGCAAGGAGCAAAGTTAATGGTATTACGTCAGTTGGATTTTATGATTAATTATCCAGAGCCTGTTTACAAAATAAATCAATACATTGTACACTATGACTTATGTGTGGCCTCATCTGAACTTTATTTAAGCCACAAGACATAAGGGACTTCTGTCTGTGTAGTTCTTCTTATTCTAGGTATAAATTACAAAGAAGTATTTTGAATTTCATCTTGCTTTTCTAAATTTCATAACTCTTTTCTAACACATTGGAAAAACTCCCATTTTTAAATAATAGTACTTTATTTTTATACATTATGAAATAAATTTAAATATTCATTTTAAGTCATCCACAAAAAATGAATGTATTAAATTCTAAGACATGTAAGGTTGATCTATCATATTTGTAAAATAAATCATAATTTATAAAAGGAAAAGACAATAACATGAAAGTAAAATATAAATACATTATCTTATCTAATATACAAATGTATAATATGTCAGAAATCTAAGAAAATTTACAACTAAGGTAAAATCAAAAGACAGAGATAAATGAAATGTCATCAAGTTATTAATTAGCTATGGACCCACAAACATGATAAAAATTTAACTACAAGAAAATTAGTATTCAGAGGGAAGTATCCTCTGTGTAGAAAATAATGTTTGTACCTAATATAGATCTCTGAATGACATTACTAATAAAACCACCACACTTCATGTGGCATTGTTTAGGTTAGCACCCTCTATACACAATGGGATCATAACTCGAAAAACTCTTGGTCATCAATATCAGAACACAAGCTGGCTAGGAATCCTATGTTTCAGATAATTATTTGTCTGAGAAAGAAATCATAAAATCATAGGCCCCTGAATGGTTTTTAAAGTCTTAGGAATTGGTTGTCCAAACAGTATTAAAGGACTTGCCAGCATTTGAAGGAATATATAATAATTTATGTTATGTGAAGCATTATAACCTCTGCTTATTTGAGAGTTTTCCTCAGAACTGTGCAATGCTTTAAATTTTATTTCAAAAAGAGGCTTTTGATTTGAGTCTTAGATGTGTGAAGACAGCACTTTCTGCCACTCTTTAAAGCAGCTCCATCTTTTCCTGGGACCACATGACTGTCCTAGTTCATCTCATCCATTTAAAGTGAATAGATGATTTTAAAAATTGCCATCTATACGTATCTAGTGCTTTCTATTAGATAATGAAAATCATGATCAAGTTTCTGAGAAATTCTTACCTTATTTAAACCATTTCTTTTAGTTTTTAGTAGTAAATTCAGTCTATGAGTTTAGGAAGTAAAAAAAAAAATTAAAAGGAATAAAATAAAATAAAAATCTTATACAAATAAGATAGAAATAAAAGCCTAAAAATAAAAAGGAAAATCACAAAAGATTACTCCCTATTTTCTAAAACTACAGAGTAAAAAAGACATTTAGCTGTCAATATTAACGTAGGAGAAAGAAAGTACACAACAGTCTTTATGTTGTTGATACTACAAAGAAGGGAGGGAAACAGGTGTGCTAAATCCAATGAGATTTATTTATGGATAAATGAATTTAGGATTACAATATAGCCAGCAAAAAATGATATAGGTCTATAAAAACTGAAATGCCCAATAAGTGCTGATTTCTAAAAGAAAAGAAAATATGCCTGGTATTGGGAAACATACAATCTTTCTGTCACATTTTTAGCTTTTTCTTTTTCTATTCTGAGAGTTGTTTAATTATATTCCGTAGGCCTGGATAATGTTCAAAGTGCTGCCACAGCTCCATTCTTACCGGCTGTGCACAGAACAAGGGCACGATTATGATGGTAGTATTCTGGTTAAATTATTCATTTTAAAACCCCAAAACATCAGAAAAAGGACCACTGTTACAAAAACAGATACTCTGGATTAGGAAGAGGACATGGCATGCCAATGACATGAGTCCTATTGCTAAAAAGGTTGAAATTACTCTGATGAAAGCTCTATAAAGAACAGGCGAGTGGTTACAAATATGGCCACTTTTGCTATAAGTCTCAAGGTCTTGGTTGAACAAATATCTAGTTGGGCTGCATGAGCTGTATGTAAACATCCACTTGTAA